ATTGAGAGAACAGCAGTGGATTTTTTAAGTAATGATCTCCATAACAGCTTTGATGAAATAAAGTATAATTATCTCTGCATTTAGTAGAGGAAACTGACGCGCTGAGAAGCCTTCATGGAGCTTACATTCCGTTGCAGAAGACAGACAACACCTGAGCAAATAGACCAGGTAGTTTCAGATTAAGATGAGAACCACTGAGGAAAGCAAACAGAGATGTGGTGTAGTGCCTAGGAGGAGGTTGGAGAAGGCTCTTAAAATAGAGGAGTCAGGGAGCCTATCCTCAGCTGCAGACGGTGATGATGCTATTTAATAAAAAGGAGCAACCTTGGAAAGCCCTGTGGGGAATAGATGATGTGCAGAGGACCTTGGGGTGAACTGGGACTTGGCTTCTTGGATGGAAGCCCTGCAACTGGCTACCAGGCCAAAAAGATGGTGAGGGGAAGATCGAGACAAAATCATGCAGGGCCTTAGAGTGGCTTATGGAAAGGAGTTTGGGTTTTATTTATATGACAATGATGGTTGACAGGTTTTAAGCAGGGAAATAATACGAGATATATATAAATTGTTTTTTGTTTTTTTTTTTTTTGAGACAGAGTCTCGCTCTGTCGCCAAGCACCAGGCTAGAGTGCAGTGGCATGATATCAGCTCCCTCCACCTCCCAGGTTCAAGTAATTCTTCTGCTCAGCCTCATATATATATATATATTTTTTTTTTTTTTAAAGACAAAGTCTTGCTCTCTCTTGCCCGGGCTGGAGTGCAGTGGCAAGATCTTGGCTCACTGCAGCCTCCGCCTCCTGGTTCAAGCAATTCTCCTGCCTCAACCTCCCGAGTAGCTGGGATTACTGGTGTGAGCCACCACACCTGGCTAATTTCTGTATTTTTAGTAGACACAGGGTTTCTCACCTTACTGGTCAGGCTGGTCTTGAACTCCTGACCTCAGGAGATCTGCCTGCCTTGGACTCCCAAAGTGCTGAGATTACAGTCAGCCACCGCACCTGGCTCTTTTTTTTTTTCACCCAATAGAGGTAAGGTCTTGTGATCATAGCTTACTGCAGCCTCAAACTCCTGGGTTCAAGCAAGCCTGCTGCCTCAGCCCAAGAAGTTGGGACTATAGGCCATGCTGGGCTATTTTGTCTGTGTGTGTGTGTGTAATAGAGATCAGGGTCTCACTATGTTGCTCAGGCTGGTCTTGAACTGCTGGTCTCAAGTGGTCGTTCCACCTAAGCCTTCTAAAGTGTTGGGATTACCAGTATGAGCCACCACGCCAGCCTGATTAACTTCTTTACGAGGACTCTGGCTGTTGCCGGGAGACGGAAGTAGGAATAAGGAGCCGTAGGGAGCCTCGGATGAGTGCTTTTCACATTGCAGATTGAGATTTATTAGTGGAAATAAAATCAATTAGGGGAATTGAAGCTAGCATTTTTTTTGTTTTGAATGAAGTAGAAAACATCACTGTCTGACATATAGTAGGGACAGTTATGGTTATGTGAAAACTTGTTTCAGTTATGCAGTTGTATGTACTGGATCATTTATATGAGATGAATTTCTTTTTCTTTCTTTCTTTTTTTTTTTTTTTTTTTTTTTGAGACAGAGTCTTGCTCTGTCACCCATGCTGGAGTGGAGTGGCAGGATCTCAGTTTACTGCAATCTCTGCCTCCCAGGTTCAAGCGATTCTCCTGCCTCATGTTCCTGAGTAGCTGGGATTACCACGCCCAGCTAATTTTTTATTTTTAGTAGAGATGGGGTTTCACCATGTTGATCAGGCTTGTCTCGAACTCCTGACCTCGAGATCCACCCACCTCAGCCTCCCAAAGTTCTGGGATTACAGGCTTGAGCCACTGCGCCTGGCTAAGATGAATTTCTTACTGTGGTGGGTCTTAGGCTGAAAACTTTGAAAGCCACTGAGTTGGATCACCTCAGCCTGGAGGATGAAGGGAGGTGACACTCTTTGCATCAGCTCAGATGCACTTTCCAGAGGGAGGAGCTCCAGCTTTCCAGCAGACAGGGCACCTCATCCTTCCTGATCCCTGGCAGGGCAGAGGCCAACGGGGCATAACAGTTGCTGAGAAAGAACTGTTGGGTCTCGGGAACCTCCCAGGCCACACCCTCTTAGTGGTTATGATCGTCCCCTTGCTCACCTGGCACTCTAGCCTCTCGGTTGTCCACTGCCCAGCTGCAGAGAAGGCAGGAGCTTGACATGTCTGGCACTCGGCAGCCGATGCAGAAGGGTAGGGCCTTGGGCTCTCCCTCCACACTGCCCTCTGTCTGCACAGCAGCAGGCACTTGAAACTGACAAGATGCAACTTCTGATTTTCGTTCCATCCTCCATCTCTGGGACTGTTTGGATAGCCTGTTTCTCCTAAGTTTCTTTTTCTACCCTCTTCAGATCTTCCTCTCTGCCCGAAATCCTTCTGTAGCTTCCTATTAAATAGCATTCCCATGCTTCATTTATTTAGACAACAAACATGTATTGAGTGCCTACTGTGTACTAGGCACTTGGGGTACCACAAGGGACAAAACAGACCAAAATCTCTGCCTTCACATAGCTTACAGCTTACTGGCAATACGGGTGGGCACAGATGCAGAGCTGTAAACTGTCACACGGTGATAGACATCTGCTAGAGAGCACAGAAGGGAGTTAAGGGGTGGAGGAGGCAGTTTGCAATTTGAATTGGAGAGGGAAGGTCTTAGCCATAAGGTGACATTTGAGCAAAAACCTGAAAGAGGTGAAGGAGCGGCCAGGAGGTTATTATGGGATAGAGCAGCTATAAAGGCCTAGAGGTAGGTTTGGAGAGGAGGGTAGGAGACTCGTGGGAGATGAGGTCTGTCAGGTCAAGGGGCAGGAGATTGTTTAGGGCTTACACGGGATAATAAAGACTTTGGCTTTTGGCCAGGCACAGTGCACAGTGGCTCACACCTGTAATCCCAGCACATTGGGAGGCCAAGGCCAGTGAATCACTTGAGGCCAGGAGTTCAAGACAAGCCTGGCCAATATGGCAAAGCTCTGTCTCTACTTAAAATACAAAAATTAGCTGTGCAGGGCGGTGCATGCCTATACTCCCAGCTACTTTGGAGGCTGAGGCATGAAAATCACTTGAACCTAGGAAGTGGAGATTGCAGTGAGTCAAAATTCAGGCCACTGCACTCCAGCCTGGGCGACAGAGCATGACATGTCTTAAATAAATAAATAAATACATATTAGTTCAAGTGGTAAGTGGATCAGACAGAAGTCATGCTGGTCTTGGCTGGGCATGGTGGCTCACACCTGTAATCCCAGCACTTGGGGAAACCAAGGTGGGTAGATTACCTGAGGCCAGGAATTCAAGACTAGCCTGACCAACATGGCAAAATCTCTACTAAAAATACAAAAATTACCCAGGTGAGGTAGTGCACATTGGTAATCCTAGCTACTTGGGAGGCTGAGGCAGGAGAATCACTTGAACTCGGGAGGCAGAGGTTGCAGTGAACTGTAGCGCCATTGTACTCCAGCCTGGGCGACAGCAACACTCCATCTCAAAAAAAAAAAAATAATAATCTCAACCGAGAGCAGAGGTTTGGGAACTGCTGAGGCCTGTGGGTGCCTGAGTACCATCCTGCCTATGACTACCACTCTTCTCTTTGGGTATGTAAAGGTGCTGACCAGCTGAAATACTCAACCTGCCCCCTGGAGACCTGCTCTTGCAGGCACTTTCTGTCACCTGGAATTCCTCCTCCCCTCTGCTGTCATGCTTGTCCAAAGCCCTATCTCCTTCCAGGCGCACCCCATGTGCCACCTTCCCAGCAGGAAGGCCCTGCCTCTGAACTCCCCTATCTGTACCTGTCACCTGAGGTCAGACAGCCTGGATTTGAAGTCCAGTTCATCATCCTGCTTGCTGTGTGACTTCGGGTAAAAATGTGCAGAGTGTATCTGCTGAGTTCTAGTCCATTCATTATACAACAGTGACAATCACCATACCTCACAGGGTCATTGTGTTGAATACAGGAGAGAAGAGTGTGTGAAGAGGTCATTTATAGACCAAAAACACAGAAGTGTCATCTCAGATTCAAATTAAAGTCAGCTTGAAAATCAAATATCAGAGACAGCTTTGGACTGTCTGTCTTCCTGATTGACATCTGGCTCCTCTTTAAAGCTTCCCCAGGGCTCCCAGTTCTCCAGTGTTTTAATCATGGCTGGGACCAGCCAGCCTCCATCCTTCTGTCTGGCAGTGAATTCTCTGTGAGTAGAGAAGGAACCCTTAAAGCCAGTCATTTGCAGCCTGGCTCAGTGGCTCACACCTGTAATCCCAGCTCTTTGGGAGGCCAAGGTGGGCAGATCATGAGGTCAGGAGATTGATACCATCCTGGCCAACATGGTAAAACCCATCTCTACTAAAAATACAAAAATTGGCCCGGCATGGTGGCTCATGCCTAATCCAAGCACTTTGGAGGCCAAAGCGGGCGGATCACCCAAGGTTGGGAGTTCAAGACCAACCTGACCAACATGGTGAAACCCTGTCTTAAAAGAAAGAATTAAAATAAAAATAATAAAAAATATATAAAAAATAATAAAAATAAATAAATAAAAAGACAAAATTCAGGGTGTGGTGGAGCATGTCTGCAATCCCAGCTACTTGGGAGGCTGAGGCAGGAGAATTGCTCGAACCCGAGAGGTGGAGACTGCAATGAGCTGAGATCATGCCACTGCACTCCAGCCTGGTAACAGAGCAAGACTTGGTCTCAAAACAAAACAAAAAAAAACCAAGTCATTTGCTTTTCCCCACAGGTGCACCCCACACGTATTGGCTTGTTCTGCCCGCTTTTACCTGCTGCTTGGATTTTTCTTTTTTTTTCTTTATTTCTTCTGGCTGATAGGGTATAGGGTTGGCTGTCCACTGGTGACTTCACGGTAGATGTAGAAAGGTCGGTTGGTTTGTTGTGCACTTCCCCTCCCAGTGCAGAATAGGCACGGGGAAATGTTGGTTGAACGACTGATGGTCTCAGTCTCTCGCCCTCCTTTGCAGATCGAGCTCAAGGACTGCGCGGCTGGCTCTCCCTTAGTATGGCCAATGAAGAGGATGACCCAGTCATACAGGAGGTAACCACTGCCCTCTGTCCCCTGCTGCTGGTGCTGCAGGCAGTGGAACTGGGTCCCTTCCATGCGTACTCAGGCCAGTCTGGGACCTGTTGGTGTTCTGGGATACCTAACCCTTGATGTTCCCTCTGCTGTCTCCCAGACCCCTGCATGGCTGACCTCTCCCTGCCTTCAGGTCTCTGATCCAGCGTCACCTCATCAGAGAGGCCTTCCCTGACTGCCCTTCCACCCAGGGCTCCCCTCCTGCACCTCTCTCTGCCCTTACCTTGGCTGTAACTGACACTTGGCCTAGCCCCTGTCATCGCCAAGATAATATTTCATAGCTTTTTTTCCTGTCCTCTGCTGGCCGCACAGTCAAGTGCAGTGCCTGGCACTCAGGTACCTGGTGACTGTTTGGTGAATGAGTGGATAGGCTCAGCAGTCCTTCCTTCCCAGGCTTACGCAGATTCAGTCATTCAGCAGCTGTTCATTGGACCGAGTGCTGGGGGCTGTGAGCAGGGCAGGGTCCCCTTCCCCAGGAAGCTAATGGACCACGGGCACGAGGAAGGACTCTCCAGTCGCCCTGGTTGCAGGCTGTGGGAGGCAGATTCCCTCCCCTCCCCTTTTTTTTTTTTTTTTTGAGAGAGAGAGTCTTGCTCCGCTGCTCAGGCTGGAGTTCGGTGGTGCCATCTCACTGCAATCTCCACCTCCTGGATTCAAGAAATTCTCCTGCCTCCAACTCCCTAGTAGCTGGGATCACAGACACCTGCCACCATGCCCGACTAATTATTTTTTTTTTTTTGAGATGGAGTCTCACTCTGTAGCCTAGGCTGGAGTGCAGTGGCACGATCTTGGCTCACTGAAACCTCTGCCTCTTGGGTTCAAGTAATTCCGTTGTCCCAGACTCCCGAGTAGCTGGGACTACAGGTGCCTACTACCATGCCCAGCTAATTTTTGTATTTTTAGTAGAGACAGGGTTTCACCTTATTGGCCAGGCTGGTTTTGAACCCCTGACCTCAAGTGATCCACCCACCTTGGCCTCCCAAAGTGTTGGGATTACAGGTGTGAGCCACCATGCCCGGCCCAGGTTTCCCTTCTTAGAGAAAGCTGTTTATAGCCAAACTTATCTTTCAGAATCCTTTTAACCCAGGACTTACACCTTTGGAAGGCAAAAGGCAAAAAGTTACTGGATTTGCCTTCAGCTTCATATGTGGAAGGGGCAAGGAGAAGTTCCCTAGAGCCTGGCCCAGGGACCCTAGGAGAAGGTCCAAGGACAGATGAATAGAGGTGGCTCTCCCTTACTTGGGGGATATTTGCTAAGTTTTTAGATTTGAGTTATTTAAATGCATTTAAGCTGCACACTGCAGTAGCAGGAGTTGCAATGAGGGGTTGGTGATGGGATAGAGGAGTCCAAGCGACCCTGAGGACAGAGGCCGCATCCTCTGCAGCCAGGGGGTCTGGAATGCTTCCTGGCCAAGATGTGCCTCGGCCAAGTCCTTGGAGGAGTGAGCAGTAAAGGCTCAGGGGAGGCATGTGTGAAGGGCTCTGTAGGTGCAGGGAAAAGCATGTGCAAAGGCCCAGGGGCAAGAGACAATGTGGTTTAAGGGGAAGAGCTAGGAAGCAGGAAGGTAAGCTGCTGCATGGCGGGGTGGGTGTGGTTAGTGCTGGGAAGAAAGGAAGTGGAGCTGTCAGTCATGAAGGGTTTTGCAGACTCCCTGAGATGGGGTGACAGGCCTATCCAGGATGGGCAGGTGGAGGGCCCAGCCAGGAGGCAAAGGCATAGGTGAGCCCTCGCCTGCCTGCCTCTCAGAAGAGCATTTGACCAGGCTCTAGGATGGTTCCCAATCAATGCAGCCCCGAAAGATGTGTGCTTGCTGGGGGATTGTGAACTTGGGTGGGGTGTGCCAGGTGAACTCTTGTCCTGGTTCCCCTGGGAGCTTTGGGGAGGGATTCCTGCATATATCCAGGGTGCAGACTTGGATCCTCTTGTTTTTAGTATGAGCTGAGCTATTTCCTCCTTCCCCACACTGCCTCCCTGAGCCACTACCCCTAACTGAAGCTGGAGGCACGGGCACAGCCTGGGGAGTTCAGCACTGTCTTCAGTCTCCCGGTTAAGTTTTCTTCCCTTGTTCCCAGATCGATGTGTACTTGGCCAAGAGTCTGGCAGAAAAGCTGTATCTGTTTCAGGTAATTACGGGACTTGAAGGTAAAGACGGGAAAAGCAGGTGTGGATGGACAGTGTGAACTCGGGAACATGGACAGGAAACGATGGGAAACTTCAGATAGGGTTCTTGGTGTGGAGAATGTCATGGGTCATTCTCTTTGCTTTTGTGGGTGGGTTAATATTGGTCTCATTTCAAAGACAGGAAAACTGAAGGAACACAGGAGAGGCAGAAGCGGGCAGCGGTTAAGGCTGGGGCTCTGTGGTCAGACCGAATTGAGAGCCAACTCCATCACACCTTAGCTGTGAGCCCTTGGGCAAGTTTCTTAATCATTCTGTGCCTCAGTTTCCTCATTGGCAAAGTGGTGATGGTAATAATGCCTGCCTCCTAGGGTCCCCGGGAGGACGGGCTGAGTCCACAGTGAAGTGTTTAGGATGCCGCCTGGCAGAGAGTTAGTGTCAGTGACGATCACTGTTGCCATGGAGGCTCCGAGGGCCAGCTCTGCGGCAGCGTCTGTGAGTCCTCAGTCCTGCCAGCTGCCAGCCGTGAGGGCCCCGGGTTGCTACCTCTGCCCCTCGCCTTGCTGCTAGGCTAGCAGTTTGTCATAGTGTCTAACGTATTGAGCATTGAAACGTATGCAAACTGTTTAAAGCATTTACCTAAGTTACCTCTTTAATCCCACAATAACCCTGTGGTGGTGATTGATTATTATATTTCATGATATATTGACATAGAATTTACACACCATACAGTTTCCCTATTTAAGTGTATAATACAATGGATTTTAGTCTATTCCTGGGTCTGTCCAACCAGTGCCACAGTCTGTTTTGGGACAGTTTTGTCCCCCTTTAAAGGAAGCCCGTGCCTATTAGCAGTCAGTCCCCATGTGCTCCCCATTCCCACCTCCAACCCCAGGCAACCATTCCCCTTATTTTCTGTCTATGGATTTACCTGTTCTGGACTTTTCACATAGCTGATTATGCAGCATGTGGCTTCCTGTGATTGGATGCTCTCACTTTGCATGATGTTTTCCGGGTTCATCCACATAGAAGCCATAGATTGCACTGATATTTGATCTTTAATTGATGAATAATGTTTCATTGTGTGGGTAGAGCACAGTTTGCTTATCCCTTTGTCAGTTGATGGGTATTTGGGGTATTTCTACTTTTTGGCTATTATAAATAATGCTGCTGTGGACATTCACACGAAGTTTTTGTGCGGACATGAATTCTCATTTCTCCCAGGGATATGCCTGGGAGTGGAATTGCTGGGTCTGCGTTTAGCTTTTTGGGGTGCTGCTGGACTGCTCCGCCCCATGTTACATTCCCACAGTTAGGGTCAGTGTTCGTATCCCAAGATGAACGTGAGAATTCGAGGCACAGGGAGGCCCTCACTGGCATAGAGGCCTGGGGCGCGCCATAGCAGCAATGCTACAAGCCTGCGCTGGGAGTGCCTGGCCTCCACTCCCTGGAGCTCACCCTTATGGGCTATGGGAATGGGGCCTGTCCCGTGTGCCTGCTGACCCTGCTTCCTTGACTGGCTGCACAGTGATGGTGGAGGTGCCAGTGACCCCCATGTATCCAGAGTGCCAAGCCCTGTGCTAGCGTCAGCTCTGTTTGCCTCCTTCGTGCTGGCAGTGGCCCTGGGAGGTGAGGATGCCTAGCCTCAGGGAGGAGAGGTACCTGCCCTTGTCCACATTTAGCAAGAGGGTTACGGTGAGGACTGCAGGCCTGGCCTGCGATTCCAGAACCTGCACCCTTCAGCATTCCCACCCGAGGTCAGGTGATCTCAGAACTGCCCCCAGCCCCAGCCTGGGAAGCAGGGAGGAGTCACGGCTTTGCTGCGTGAGTGAGTTTCTAGGAAATGACCATCTCCTTGTGCTGGAATCTAGCTGATGTGAAAGGGCCTATTCTCTACGCTGCCGCACCTCCACCAGGCCCATTCCGCAGGGTGTCATGAGACTAGGTAGTAGCGCATTCGAGGAGGGGTCCAAACTTTGACTCCTCCACCTGAGAGAGAGAGAGAGAGAGAGAGAGAGAGAGAGAGAGAGCGAGTGAGAGCACTGTGAGGACAGATGGGAGCAGGATTTGCAGTGTGAGCCATTCACATAAAGATAAGAGCGGGCCGTGGCTGCCCAGCTCCCTTCTCCAGCATCTTGTGAGGAAGCTCACACAGCTGGAAAAGGATGGAGAATGGGATCATGAATTCCCACCTGCCCGGCTGGCCTCAGCAGTGAGCAGCACTTGCCGGCGTTGCTTTCCCCTTTTGCTTCCTTGTGGCCTCCTTTTGTTCATCCCTGTCTCCCCAGATGGCCTGTCCATGGGTAGTTAGGCCCTGCACCCCCATCCTCACCTCCCATGGCTGTGCTCTGTAGGTTCCTGGATCAGCAGCCTGTCAGTTTGGGTCCCTGTGCATAGGCACGCCCCTCGGAAGTCAGAGACACCCTGCAGTGGCCCTTTGGAAGGAGCTGATGAGAACAGGGCTGCAGGTGGAGACTGGGAGGGGGGCCTCGTGGTAGGGCTGGGCAATTGGCACCCTTGTGGTAGGGTAGGGCTGGTCTCTGCTTGGGTGGGCTTGGAGGTTGCTGTTGATTCTTGGTGGGGGCCCAGCTCTGGGCAAGCCTGGGCAGAGTGGACTTACACCTCCCTTCCCCTCTCCAGTATCCTGTGCGTCCAGCCTCGATGACCTACGATGACATTCCACACCTCTCTCAGCCAAGATCAAGCCCAAGCAGCAGAAGGTGGGGCTGCCCCCTGAGGGCAGTGGGGGGGCGGGAAGAAGGGGTGATGAGGGTGGGAGCTGGTGGAGGTGAGAAGCTCAGAGAAGGGGCTATTGGAGAATTAGGAGAACCAGCAGCTCCCAGGGCCTTGAACGCTGAAGAAGGAAAGCGTCCAAAGAGACAGGAATGGGCAACTCCAGAGAGGCCAGGGAGGCATGAGGCTGATGAATTAGAGAATGCGGCCAGATGTGAGCTTAGGTTCCCAGGATAAGACAGGGGCGGGCGGGTGAACATGGAGGAGGTCTGATAGGAAGAGAAGTGCCTGTCCATGGAGGGGCTGCAGCTCTAGCCCCTGCAGCCACATGGAAGTGCTGTCCCAGTATTGCCGTTTCTGCTGGCTTTTCAAAAGAAGCGGGAAGTAAGGATTTTATGAGAAATCTCTTGATTTTTAAGTGTTGGCACCTAATTTAGATCTTTGGGAGTGGAGGACAAATAAGATTACAGGACGCTGCTGCTTCTCCCCTGCAAAAGAAAAAAAATTCTGATTTCTTTTTTTGGAATTTGGATTTGTGGCCCTTGGTGTGGACTGAAGTCTAGGGGCCCTTGGGACATGTGTCCGTCCTGCTTCTGGGCGGGGACCTGGTTAGGAGGTGGCCATGGTTTGTTGGGGTGTCCCTTGGGGAGCCACGCCTTGGGGTCCTCATAGCTGGTGGGGGTGCTTGGTGCCTCCAGGTAGAGCTTGAGATGGCCATCGACACCCTGAACCCCAACTATTGCCGCAGCAAAGGGGAGCAGATTGCGCTGAATGTGGATGGGGCCTGCGCAGATGAGACCAGCACGTACTCCTCGTGAGTTCCTGGCCCCCAGCCCACCCGGCTTCCCTGTGTTCACACAGGTGCCTCCCAAAGACCTTAAAGACATTGACTGCCTCTGCCCCATCGCTGGGCTCCTCACCAGCGTCCCAGCCTTTGGAGGGCTGGGGCTGTCTCAGACCCTCCCCTCCTGGGCTAGCTGATCCCAGAGCTCCCACCCACTCCTTGTCTCTTGGTCTACAAACAAGGCCATGGGTCTTCTCAGCCCTAGGCTTTCCTCCTGAGACCAGCGTAGGCTGTCCTGGGGCCTTGGTCCCTGGCTGTGGCACTTCAGGAGGTGTCTGGGGGGTGGAGTGGGCTGTGGCCACAGGCTCTGGCTCAGAGCTGCCTGTGACATTGCTTCTCCCTGTGCTCCAGGAAGCTGATGGACAAGCAGACATTCTGCTCTTCCCAGACCACCAGTAACACATCCCGTTACGCCGCTGCACTCTACAGGCAAGGTACCCGGGGCTGGGCATCCCTCGGGTGGGGGGGACACAGTGTGGGGCGCTGGGCAGGGAGAGAACCTCCCCAGCCTGGTGTCCATCTCCCACCTGCCCCGAAAGCTAGATACCTGTGGAAATAACAGGAAGACACATTGTCAGGGGACTGGAAGTGGCCACTTTTGGGGACTGCTGGCTGACTGGATACTGCCTGACCAGATAGGGTGGGGCTCCAAGTTCATTCATCCTCCTGGGACACAGATACATAGAAGTAGCAGAACAGAAGTTTGGGGACAGAGTTTTGTCTTTAAATACGAAACTTATGATAGAGCAGTTCCATTCCTAGGCAGCGTCTATCCAAGACAAATGAAAATATGTCCACACAAAACAGGTATTCACGGTAGTATTTTTTTTTTAAAGATGGAGTCTTGCTCTGTTGCCCAGGCTGGAGTGCAATGGCACGATCTAGGCTCGCTGCAACCTCCACCTCCCAGCTCAAGCAATTCTGCCTCCGGCTCCCGAGCAGCTGGGACCACAGATACGCACTACCATGCTCAGCTGATTTTTATTTTATTTTATATTTTTAGTATAGACAGGGGTTCCCCATGTTGGCCAGGCTGGTGTCAAACTCATGACCTCGTGATCTACCCGCCTCAGCCTCCCAAAGTGAGGATTACAGGCGTGAGCCACCGCACCTGGCCCTCCACAGTAGCATTCTTTGTGATTGAAACAACCCAAATGCCTATCCGCTGGGTTCATGGAGAAACACAGTGTGGTCCATTAATGCAATTATTTGACCACAGAAAGGAATAAAGCATTGCTGCTTCCATGCAGATGAGCCTTGACAATGTTGCGCTAAGTGAAAGAAGCCACGTGCTTCGCTCACAGCCATGCCCTGTGTGATTGTGTCTCAGGCAGTGACCAACCACATATACACCGGTGGTCCTGTAAGGTAATAATGGAGCTGAAAGATTTGCTCACCTAGCGATGTCTTAACGATCCTCACCCTGCGTAGGCCTAGGCTAATTCGTATGTTTGCTTGTTTTGTTTTGAGACAGTCTTGCTCTGTCACCCAGGCTGGAGTGCAGTGGTGCAATCTCAGCTCACTGCAATCTGTCTGCCAGGTTCAAGCAATTCTCCTGCCTCTGCCTCCCAAGTAGCTAGGATTACAGGCACACACCACCACGTTGGCTGATTTTCTCTTTTTCTTTTAAATTTTTAAAAAACATCTTACATTTTTTTTTCTTTTTAAGATGGGGTTTCACCATGATGGCCAGGCTGGTCTTGAACTCCTGACCTCAGGTGATCTGCCCTCCTTGGCCTCCCAAAGTGCTAGGATTGCAGGCATAAGCCACCACACTTGGCCCATGTCTTAGTTTTTAGTAGAAAGTTTAAAAAGTTTTTAAAAAAAAGAGAATAAGAAAAAAGGAAGAAAAAAAAAAGCATATAGCTTCGCGTGGTGCCTCATACCTGTAATCCCAGTGCTTTGGGAGGCTGAGGCAGGCCGACTGCTTGAGCCCAGGAGTTTCAGACAAGTCTGGGCAACATAGTGAAATCCCTTTTCTACAAAAATACAAAACTCAGCTGGGTGTGGTGGCACAGCTATGTGATTACGTCTCAGTCACCCCTTAGTCCCAGCTACTCAGGAGACTGAGGTGGGAGGATTGCTTGAGCCTGGGAGGCAGAGGTTGCAGTAAGCTGAGATTGTGCCACTGCACTACAGCCTGGGTAGCAGAGCAAGACTCTGTCTTGAAAAAAGCATATGTAAAAAGATATATTTTCCATGAACTTATTTTATTTTTTTAGAGGGAGTCTCACTCTGTCGCCCAGGCTGGAGTGCAACAGCTCGATCTTGGCTCACTGAAACCTCTGCCTCTTGGGTGCAAGCAATTCCATTGTCCCAGACTCCCGAGTAGCTGGGACTACAGGCGCATACCACCATGCCCAGCTCATTTTTGTATTTTTAGTAGAGACAAGGTTTTGCCGTGTTGGCCAGGCTGGTCTTGAACTCCTGACCTCAGGTGATCCACCTCGACCTCCCAAAGTGCTGGGAAAATAGGCATGAGCCACCTCGCCCAGACTGTTTTTCATAAATTTCGTGTGGCCTAAGTGTGCAGTGTTTATAAAGTCTACAGTAGTGTCGCAGGCCTTCATATTCACTTACCTCTCACTCTGACCCAGAGAAGCTGTTTTTCATCTCTTTCATACTATACTTTTACTGTACCATTTTTATGCTGAGGGTTTTTAGGGTTTTTGATTTTGTTTTTGTTTTTTTTTTTTTGGAGACTGGGTCTCACTCTGTCACCCAGGCTGGAGTACAGTGGTGATCATAGCTCACTGCAGCCGGAATCTCCTGGGCTCAAGCAATCCCCTGCCTCAATCTCCTGAGTAGCTGGGACTACAGGCCATGCCACCATGCCTGGCTAATTTAAAAAAAAATTATTTGTTGAGATGGGGTCTTGGTATGCTGCCCAGGCTGGTCTCAAACTTCTGGGCTCAAGCCATCCTCCTGCCTCCACCTCCCAAAGTGCTGGGAATACAGGTATGAGCCACTGCACCCAGCCTAAATATATTTTGATACACAAATGCTTACCATTGTGTTACAACTGCCCACAGTTTTCAGGGGAGGAACATGCTGTACAGTGTGCAGCCTGAGAGCAACAGGCCACACCATAGAGCTGAGGCATGTCGTAGGCTCTGCTGTCTGGGTTTGGATAAGTGCATTCTGTGATGTTTGCACAGTGATGAAATTGCCAGACAATGCTGCTCGGAACCTATGCCATTGTTAAGTGATGTGTGGCTGTCTATGAAATGTCCAGAATAGGCAAATCCACAGAGGGAGAAGGTAGATTAGTGGCTACCAGGGACCAGTGGGGAGTGGAGGAGGGATTGCCTGGTTCTTTTTGGGGTGATGAGAATGTTCTAAAATTGACTGTACTGGCTACACAGCTTTGTGAATATGTTAAAAGACATTGAATTGTGGCCTGGAGTGGTGGCTCACACCTGTAATCCCAGCACTTTGGGAGGCCGAAGTGGGTGAATCACCTGAGGTCAGGTGTTTGAGAACAGTCTGGCTAACATGGTGAAACCTCATCTCTACTAAAAATACAAAAAAATAGCTGGGCGTGGTGGCACACACCTATAATCTCAGTTATTCAGGAGGCCGAGGCAGGAGAATCACTTGAACTCAGGAGGCCGAGGTTACAGTGAGCCAAGACTGTACCACTGCACTCCAGCCCGGGCAATATAGTGAGACGCCATCTCTAAAAAAAAAAAAAAAAAATACATTGAATTGTGTGCTTTAAATGAGTGGATTGTATGGTACATGAGTCATGTCTCAAAGCTAGTAAAAAGTACAAGGTGCTTAAGTATTTAGAGTCTTAAACGCAATAAACAAAATTAATCCAAGCACTTAGGAAACAAAACAGGATAGGATCAAAGTAGTGCCACATAACTATCGTTTTGTATGTTGAACCCATGTCTCAAGCATGTAATTCTTGAAAGCCACATCCCTCGCAGCTCGGGCCATAAGGAAAAGTCATAGTCTTGATCAGAAGCCATGTGGACACTCCTCCACCCAGCTTCAGCAGGGCCTCTCCTCCAGCCACAGTGGCACTAGTGGACTTCCCGGTGGAACGGGTGGGATTTTGACAGCAAGAGGTGGAGGATAGTAAGGAGAGGAAATCCAGGTGTGTGGGGTGGGGACAGTAAGGGTGCTCTGGCTGAGGCCTGGAGGGTAAAGAGCAGGGCGTATGTGATGAGGATTAGCTGCCTCATGTGGCAAAGCAAGCAGCTGGGGAGAGAGGCGTGGAACCAGGCTGGGAGGTGTGGCTGAAGGTGGCGGCTTCAAGCAGAAGAGTCCAGGTTCGTGTCCTAGTCTGGGCTGCGTGCTTGCTGTGTCCAGTAGGGCCAGGTGGAGTTGGGGTGGCCTCCGGCCTGGTGGTCCCAAGGCTCTAGGATTGGGGGCTGGAGTGGGAATGGGCGCGGTTTGATGTCAGGCCTAAGCCTTCAGGGGACTTGGTGACTCCCTTGAGCCAAACTGGGTGGGTTTCTAGAGTCAGGTCCAAGCCCTTCTTCCTCCGCCAGGTGAGCTCCACCTGACACCTTTACATGGCATCCTGCAGCTGCGGCCCAGCTTCTCCTACCTGGATAAGGCGGACGCCAAGCACCGGGAGAGGGAGGCAGCCAACGAGGGTGAGCCTGGGATCCCCAGCCCTGCTGCCTGCCTTAATCTTGGTGGGACGGCTTGGTCTTAGGAAGAGGGATGGGATGCATGATAGGAGGCTTAGCAGCATCCTGGCCTCTATCTACTTAGATGCCAGAAGCACCCACCCCACAGTCGTCACAAACAAAAACGTCTCCACACATTGCCCAGTGTCTCTGGGGGACGAGGCAAAAGTGTCCCCACTTGAGAACCTCCGGCCTAGGCAGCTCCCTCTTGGAGGAGAATTCCCAGCACCCTTGAGGGTGGGGTTGAGAGAAGGGAGGTGGGCGCTCCCCAGGACTGCAGGCAGTGGCTTGTCTCTCTTGCAGCAGGGGACTCTTCACAGGATGAGGCGGAAGACGATGTTAAGCAGATCACGGTGAGCCCTGGCCCCTGGGGGAGGTGGGTGCTACCTGGGTGGCAGCAGGACCAGTTTAGTAACTCAGCAGCCCCGAGACCAAGGGGTAGCGGGTCCTCGAGGGAAACAGGTGGAACAAAAACAGGGTCCATGCTTTTGAGCCTTCTTGCTGGGTGCCTTAATGGAACATCCTGAGTTTCCCAGCTGCACATAAGACAGAGCCCTGGCCGGATGCAGGAGATGGGTCCCTGAGGCTCGGCTGGAATCACCTGGGAGCAGGAAGCTGGGGCCAGGAGCTCCGAGGACCCACAGGCCAGCTCTGCCATGAAACCTGTATCTTTTTTTTTTTTGAGACGGGAGTTTCCCTGTTGTTACCCAGACTGGAGTACAATGGCACTATCTCGGCTCACCACAACCTCTGCCTCCTGGGTTCAAGCAATTCTCCTGCCTCCGCCTCCCGAGTAACTGGGATTACAGGCACGCACCACCATGCCCAGCTAATTTTTGTATTTTTGTAGAGACAGGGTATCACCTTGTTGACCAGGATGGTGTCGATCTCTTGACCTCATGATCCACCCGCCTCAGCCTCCCAAAGTGCTGGGATTATAGGCGTGAGCCACCGCACCCGGCCTGAAACCTGTATATCTTAACGAGCCAAAGTCAATTAACTGTAATTCTATCCTCTTTATGCAGCACAGATGAATAGTTTCTGTTTTAATAGTTATTCCTGAATTTTAAGGATTTTTCAAAGAACCTTAACATTCCATTTATGGTTTGTAAAGTTTTCCCTATTTAAACATATTTAGATTAAAATGAGTAGTACCAAAAAAAAAATGCTACACATGGAATGATCATATACAAGCCTGGCTAAAGAGCGGTGAGTGTTCGGATGTCCTTGAGGACTGGGGAACACTGGTGTAACTGACACGGCGGTGGCTCAGAGAGCTCACCCTCTTCTCTCAGTAGCTTCGTAGGACTCCTTTCGGCTCTGGGGGACATGCAGCCCTTTTTAGAAAAGGCGTCCTTGGGCCTGCATGCTGTAAGGACTCTGCCAGCTCTCGTGCCTGGGACTTTGTAATCCCCCTCAAACCTGTGGGCTGGGCAGGCGCGACCAAGTATAAGCCACTCCCCAACGTGTGCAGACAGCTCTGGGAGGGACGCAGTTGGAACGGAATTTAAACGACCTGTGCCAGGAAAGGAAGGGGGGCGGGGAAAACCTCGATACAGAGTTCTCTGGTCTCCTGGCAGAGGCCGAGATGGCAGCCCAGGAAGGGTCACAGGCCTGAGGGCATGGGTTGCCACCCTAGGTGCGGTTCTCCCGGCCCGAGTCAGAGCAGGCCCGCCAGCGCCGCGTGCAGTCCTATGAGTTCCTGCAGAAGAAGCATGCGGAAGAGGCCTGGGTGCACCTGCATTACTATGGCCTGAAGGTGAGCGAGGGTGAGCGGGCCTCATGGAGCCCTGGGGGATACACCCCGTGCCCAGAGGGGCAGGATGTGGCCTCCATGTCTCACCTTGAACTTAAGTCACATTCATGAGTCCTAGCCACAAAGAGATGATTTAGTCCTGTGGGCAGTTTCCACTTCATTCCAGCCAAGCCATTTAGCGTGGACCCCAGGGGAGCAAGAGAAAAAGATTCGAATCCGAGGTTCCCTGGGTGGGGTTTGGCCCCAGGTGTGGGCCTCTTGCTGGGCTGGCAGCGGGACTGGTGTCTGGTTACATATTTTTCCTGTGCCCAGGTCCTGAACGCAGGCCAGACGTGTTCTCTGGTGCTGCCCTAGAAAGTTGGTCATCTGTTGTCTGCCCCAAAGCTCCTGGCACGCCTGCCCAGGAGGATTTTTTACTATATTCAATTTTCATCTGGTGCACTGACTTTATTGTTTTGTTTTGTTTTGAGACAGTCTCGTTCTGACACCCTGGCTGGGGTTTAGTGGCTCAATCTCCGCTCACTGCATTCTCTGCATCCTGGGTTCAAGCAGTTCTCCTGCCTCAGCCTCCCAGGTAGCTAGGACTACAGGCACCGCCACTACACCAGCTAATTTTTTTATTTTTTATTTTTAGTAGAGATGGGGTTTCACCATGTTGGCCATTCTGGTCTTGAACTCCTGACTTCAAGTGATCTGCCTGCCTCAGGCTCCCAAGGATTACAGGCATGAGCCATGGCCACCTGGCCCTGGTGCATTGACTTTAGAACCTAACCCTTGAAACTATGTATCAAGTGAGGGAAGCTTCCAAAGATACCATGGACCAGGCTCCCAGTGTTTTCTGGGGTGGGGAACCTCTGGAACCTTCCTGGAAGAGATTTGTGTTGACAGACCCTTAAGACTCAGGGTCAAACCTTGGAACATTGCAGTTTCCTGCTTTATGACCTTGGGCATGTTACCTGACCTCTCTGAGCTTAAGTTTTCTAATTTATAAGATGAGAGTAGTAATCATAGTACCTACCTTGCCGAGTTATTTTGAGAATGGGATGAGTTAGTGTATTTACACCCAGTGGAACAGAGTCCAGCACATCCTAGGTGCTCAGTGAACGGTAGCCATCATTTTGTCATTGCCAGTGATGTACCTGTGTTACAGACAGGGCACCAAGGCTTGGGGTTGGGGCTGGGCATGTCATAAGGCCAGGAAGATGGGTGGAGGCCACATCAGAGGCCTTGGGTGCCATGCTTAGGAGGTTGGACGTGGTCGTATGACTGCCCATGGAGTGGAAGGCAGGGGAGACCTTGGGAAGGGGGCCCAGACCAGGGCCATCGGCTGAGGCTCTTTCACACCCTCCTCTCCTCCAACAGGACAGCCGCTCTGAGCACGAGCGCCAGTACCTGCTATGCCCAGGCTCGAGTGGGGTGGAGAACACAGAGCTTGTCAAGTCACCCAGGTGGGAAGGGCTAGGCCAGCATGTAAGCTGGATGCCAGCCCAGGGGCCCCGGGGTTGGGGTGTTCCCTTCGGTGTGGATCCTCCTCTAGCAGCAGGGTGGAGCCCATTGTCCCCTGGAGGAGACCAAGGGGGTGGGCCGGGAAAGAGATGTTTCCCTTTTCTGCAGGGGCTTGGGGCTTCTGGGGGAGGGCAGTGGTGGGCTGTCTGAGGAGGGTCCAGCCTGGGTCGGCCCTGAGCCTCTGCCCCTGCCCTATCCCTGCAGAGTACCTGTTGATGCTGATGCCGCCCAGCCAGGAGGAGGAGAAGTGAGTAGAGGCGGAGGGATGCTCTCTCCCTTTTTGAATTCGCTGCCTCTAACCCGCCCCCTCTGCTTTCCCCAGAGATAAGCCTGTGGCCCCCAGCAATGTCCTGTCCATGGCCCAGCTGCGCACGCTGCCCCTGGCTGATCAGATCAAGATCCTGATGAAGAACGGTGGGTGCCCACCTTCTGTCCTCCTGGGGCCCCTGTCCTAGTGGCACCTGAGGAATGGACTCTGTGGTACAGTGAGGACCAAGGGGCAAGGCCAGAGGTCCCTGCTGGCCACAGGCTGCCTGGCTTTGCAGCTGCATCCTTGTCTAAAAAGATAATGCAGGACGGCGGTGCAGCCGGCTTCCGCAGGTGGTCTCGGGGTCCCGTGAATGCAGGACGGCAGTGCAGCCGGCTTCCGCAGGCAGGCTCAGGGTTCCTGTGCCATCCTCGCCACTTGCCTGCCATGCATTGGGCAGATCACTGACCTTTCTGAGGCTTTGTTTTTCTGTGAAAAGAGACTAATGATAGTTCCTGGGGTCAATGTGAGGACTCTCAGAGAGGAGGCTTGTAAAGGGCTTAGCACAGAGCCCTGTATGTCATTGTGGACTAGGGGCTTTTTATTTTTATTTATTTATTTATTTTTGAGACGGAGTTTCGCTGTTGTTACCCAGACTGGAGTTCAATGGAGCAATCTCAGCTCACTGAAACCTCCGCCTCCTGGGTTCAAGCAATTCTCCTGCCTCAGCCTCCTGAGTAGCTGCGACTACAGGTGCACACCACCATGCCCAGCTAATTTTTGTATTTTTAGTAGAGACAGAGTTTCACCTTGTTGACCAGGATGGTCTCGATCTCTTGACCTCATGATCCATCCGCCTCAGCCTCCCAAAGTGCTGGGATTACAGGTGTGAGCCACCGTGCCCAGCTTCTTTGTTTTTTGTTTTGTTTTTTTTTAAGAGACATAGGGTTTTGCTGTTGTGTAACTCCTTCGGGTAGGTGATCCTCCTGCTCAGCCTCCTGAGTGGCTGGGACTGTAAACAGGCACCACTGCGCTGGCTAAACAAGGGTCATTTTCATGACTGTCTTCACTGGTACTGCTTCTAGGTACCCTCACCAGACCCGGCACTAGAGGGACTGGTTTCCTTTTCTCAAAGGACTCTGAGGGCCAAAATCTTCAGGGTGCCTATGGCTGGTGAACAGCAGACCTCAGCCCTGAGCTCATCATGGAGCCCCAGAACCTGGGCTCCTCCTTTGAGATACCACCATGAACTCTTGGGAGTCGAAGGAGAGAGAGGGGAGCTCCCTGATATGCCCGGGACTGCAGGTTGCCTTCTTACAGAGGACTTTGGGCTTTTTTTTTTTTTAAAGACAGTCTTGCTCAGGCTGGGGTGCAGTGACACAATTTCTGCTCGTTGCAACCTCCACCTTCTGGGTTCAAGCAGTTCTCATGCCTCAGCCTCTGAGTGGCTAGAACTAAAAGGTGCGCCACCACGCCCCGCTAATTTTTGTACTTTTAGTAGAGATGGGGTTTTGCCTTGTTGGCCAGGCTAGTCTCAAACTGCTGGCCTCAAGTGATCCGCCTGCCTTGGCCTCCCAAAGTGCTGTGATGGCAGGCGTGAGCCACTGCGCCCTTCTAAATTTTGGGCTTTCCCTGGGCCCTGTCCATGGCTCACTTGGAGGGAGTTGAGGTCAGCAAAGCGCAATGATTGTGGGTGCCAACTGAAACCAGATGGCCTGGGTTCACTTCCCAGCTCTGCCACTTTCTAGCCAAGAGATCATGGGTGAGTTATGGAGCCTTTCTAGGTGTGAGTAGTAATAGACCCTTCCTCCTCTGTCGAACCCCTCAAGGGTTGTCTTGCTCAAGGGGCACGTCCTCATAGAATGCTCAGAAGGATTCCATGAGGTGCCCAGTGCCTGCGGAGCCTGCAGTGAGCAGCCTGTGAGTGTCAGCTGAGGGCTGTGATGGGTGTCATTACTGTAGTTACCACATTCTGGGGGTATTACGTGAGCCTGAAGCTATACAGACTCCTGGTGAAGGGGAAGGAAGGGCCGGCCCCTCTTCTTTGTCTGATGTCTTCTGCTTCCTCCTCAGTGAAGGTCATGCCTTTTGCCAACTTGATGAGCCTCCTGGGCCCCTCCATCGATTCCGTGGCTGTTCTGCGGGGCATCCAGAAGGTGGCGATGTTGGTCCAAGGGAACTGGGTGGTGAAGAGGTGAGTTGTGGTTTTTTGTTTGTTTGTTTTTTTTGTTTTTTCTTAAGGCAGAATTTTGCTCCTGTTGCCCAGGCTGGAGTGCAGTGGCGCGATCTTGGCTCACTGCAACCTCTGCCTCCAAGGTTCAAGCGATTCTCCTGCCTCAGCCTCCTGAGTAGTTGGGATTACAGGTGCACCCCACTGTGCCCATCTAGTTTTTGTATTTTTAGTAGAGACAGGATTTCACTATGTTGGCCAGGCTGGTCTCAAATCTTGATCTCAAGTGACCCACCGCAGCCTCCCAAAGTGTAGAGATTATAGGCGTGAGCCACTGTGCCCGGCCTATGCTGTATTCTCTTAATGGGAACATTTGGTCCTTTTAAATTTGATGCAGTTACTGGTGCTTTGGGTTTAAATCTACAGTGCTATTTGTCCTGCCTACATTGCATTTAAATGTTTTTTTTAAATTGACACAGAATGTACATATTTATGGGGGGCAGTGTGAAATCTCAATACATGTATATTATATCATGATCAAATTAGGGCAATTAACATATCACCTCAAACATTTCTCATTTCTTTGTGTCGAGCACATTCAAACTTCATTTTTCTAGCTATATGAAAATATACAATAGAATGTTCTTCATTATAATCACCCGATATACCCTTTGTCCTGCCTACACTGGATTTTTATATCATTCTTACCATCTGCTGGATTCATTTCTGTTTTTTTTTTTTCTGCTAACTTGGAAGGCGCATATATTGATTACCCTCCAGTTTTTTGCATTCATGCCTTAACGCATTTTAATGTTAATTGCTGCTTTTCACTCTGTTCCAAACTATTCAGAGATCAGAGTATTTCATGTCTCTCCTCCTTTCTACTTATATGCTCCTGGATTGGGGTGTGTGTGTGTGTGTATTTTTAATTTGCCAATCTTCTCTATCGTTCCAATTTTAGTATATGTGCTACTGAAGAGAGCACATGATTGGTGTGTTTTATTTATTTTTTTGTTTTTTTAATTTCTTTTGAGACAGGGTCTCACTCTTGTCGCCCAGGTTGGAGTGCCAATGGTGCCATCTCGGCTCACTGCAACCTCCGCCTTCCAGGCTCAAGCAGTTCTCCTGCCTCAGCCTTCCAAGTAGCTGGGTTTACAGGTGCCCACCACCACGCCCAGCTAATTTTTATATTTTTAGTAGAGGTAGGGGTTTTGCTGTGTTGACCAGGCTGGTCTCCAACTTCTGACCTCAGGTGATGCTGCCTTAGCCTTCCAAAGTGCTGGGATTGATTACAGGCGTGGACCACCTCACCTGGCCATATAGATTTTAATTCTGTATATTTTCAACCCCATAAGACATTACTGTATTCAGTCAGTTAATGAGCTTTACTCACATGTCTATAATTCAGTTATCATTCCTTTCTGCATCTCTGAGTTTCTTCTATCTGGGATCATTTCCTTCTGTCTAAAGAATGCTGTAGTATTTCTTTGAATGTGGGTTTGTTGATGATGCACTTCCTTGGTTTGTGTGTATTTGGAAAGGTCTATTTCACCTTTGTTCTATAATTCTAGGTTGGAGGTGATTTTTCTTTCCACGCATTGATAGGGTTTTGTTGTATTCTGATTTAATTGCTTCTCTTGGCAGTTTTGTTTTTACTCCTTTGAAGGCAGTCTACCTTTGTTTTCCTCTGGCTGCTTTTGGGAATTCCTCTTTGTTTTTGGCTTTCTATGGGTTTATTCAGATGTGTCCAAGGGTAAATTTTTTTTTTTGAGACTGAATCTCGTTCCAGGCTGGCTGGAGGGCAGTGACACAAACTGCAACATCCGCCTCCCAGGTTCAGGTGATTCTCCTGCCTCAGCCTCCTGAGTAGCTGGGATTACAGGCACCCCTGCCCCACCACACCCAGCTAATTTTTGTATTTTTAGTAGAGATGAGGTTTCACCATGTTGGCCAGGCTGGTCTTGAACTCCTGACCTCAGGTGACCCACCCACCTCGACCTCCCAAAGTGCTGGGATTACAGGTGTGAGCCACTGTGCCCAGCCCCAAGGGTGAATTTTTTACATACTCTGCTGGGGATCACAGGTCTTGAGTGTATGGCTTGACGCCTTTCAGTAGTTTAGTTTCTCTTCTCCTGTGAATCTTCCCCTAGACCCATCTCCCACCTCCACTAGACTGTCAGTTTCAAAGGATTGAGGATGTCTGTTTTGACTCCCCCTTTATGTCCCCAGTACCCAGGAAAATGCCTGGATATTAGTAATGCAGACCCGTGGTAAATAGTGTGGCTATGGTTTGCTTTGCATTATATTAATTCGATATGGTGTAGTATAAACTACATTAATAACTCACTTTTTAGGGTGAGCAATGTGACAAAATGTGAAATGCTGCTCATTTAAAAAAATACAATGCCAAAGGCTTATCTCATAGTTGTAGAGTATATTGTGTTACGGCCACGTGGTGGCGCCCTTGCACTGCGCCACTGATGCCCAGGGCGCTTTGTCAGCGTCTTGTGGCTGTCCTGTGTTACATGGTTTTCATCACGGAAGGCTTTTGCAATGGTAGATCACATGTTACATGGGACCACCTGTGTATTTTTATACCATGAAAGAATGAAAGCCAGAGGGGTCCTACTGTCACACACCTGAGGACACTGGCCCAGAGAGGCATGGGACTTGCCAAAAGTCTTGCAGCAAGGCAGCCGCAGAGCCCGGTTAGAACTCAACCCTCATGGCTCAGCCCTGGGCTCTGCGCCCAGTATGGCATGTGTTCCCTGGAGGTGCTGTCCCTTTTAGTTACGCCGTGTCCTGGGGACTGGAAGGTAGGAACTCAGGGACAATGGGCATTCTGTCTGTTCCGGTGCCTCTGAGCCCTGCTCTGCTGCTGCCCACACTGCCACGCCAGGGACCCCTGGGTGAGGGTCCTTTGTGTCCCTGTGAGGAGACAACACAAAATCCATGCCTTCTTTTAGTCACTGTGGCCAGACTGCTGTGCCGTGGACGGGACTCTCATTCAGACACTGCCCCTGAGGATGGGGCTGTTACGGTTGAGCTCCCTGAATGCAGAGGTCATGGATCAGGCTTGTTACTTCAGCACACACTTAAGAGGTACCTTCACTGTGGTGGCAGCAATGAGCCACGTTGGCAGAGTCCCTGTCCCCAGAGAGTGTGGCCTTGCAGGATGAGTGACCGTTGGCTGCCCGGTGGACCTGAGCAGGGCAAGGGGAGGGCCTGCAGCAGAGGGAGCGGCAGTCAGAACACAGGTGCCACGGCTGGGGCTGACCTGGGCTGCAGGGCCTGCGGCTGGAGCTGGGTCAGGGCTACACTTAGAGAGTCTTGTGCCCTGCTGTCAGACCCCGGCCTTTCCCCTGAAGTTCCCTGAGCCTTGAGTGCTGGGCCTCTTCTCTCGAAGGGATAACACGTCTCCCCTGCCTCTGGCCTCGGTTCATACCTACCCTTCAGCAGGTGGCCAAGAGCTTGCAGATGGCTTCATCCCCTTTGCTCTTGGTGTTCCGCACAGGGACCAGTTGTCTTCCAGAGTCTTGGGCTCCGAGGTCCCAGGCTGTTCCTCGCCTTGTCTGTCTCTGAACCCATGACCTCTCCCTCAATGCGCAGGGGCTTAAGATGAGGCTAGTGTGCATGGTGGGTTGAGGGGTAATAAGAGGAAGAACTCTTGCCGGGGGGTGTGGGGTAGCAGGGTGCTTCTTTCTCATGTCTGTGTTCACAGATGTGGCTCCTGAGGGGAGCTCTCGGGGCTCAGACCAGTACTCAGCTCACGTTGGAAAGAGGCGTGGGCTGGGGCTCTGGAGGGGGCAGCGGTAAAGGGGGCTCAGGACAGGGACTGACCCACCACCCTCACCTGCATTGGCAGTGACATCCTGTACCCCAAGGACTCATCCAGCCCCTCACAGCGGTGTGCCTGCCGAGGTGCTCTGCAGGGGCCGAGACTTCGTTGTAAGTACCTTGGATTCTCTGGACCCATGGGGGGTGTGGGAGAGGGAGGCGGCGATGCCGGGTTTCTGAGAGGAACCTGGGACTCCTTTATGGAGGAGAAAAGGAGGGAGGCACAGAGCTGATGGGACTGAGTCCGCACTGCTGGGAAGAACCCAGGCCAGGAGCCCAGGTCTGCCCCAGGCCCTGGCTCCTAGGCCTGCCAGGTGAGTTGCGGGGACAGTTGTGGGGAGCAGTCCGTGGCTGCTGCTGGTATATGCTGCTGCTTCTCCCTCAGATGTGGAAGTTCACGCAGAGCCGCTGGGTGGTTAGGAAGGAGGTGGCAACAGTGACCAAAGTAAGTGTCCTTTGTGGTCTGAGGCCCAGGCTGCTGCTAAGGGGGAGGGCCTGGCTGTGCCTCACCTCAGGCCCGCTCCCCTCCAGCTCTGCACCGAGGACGTGAAGGACTTCCTGGAGCACATGGCTTGTGGTGAGGATCACAAAGGCTGGGAGTTCATTCTGCCTTATGACGGGAGTTCATCAAAAAGCACCCGGATGTGGTCCAGCGGCAGCACATGCTGTGGACGGGTATCCAGGCCAAGTAAGCGCCTGTGGCCATGGAGGGGCAGCGCGGTGGTCCTGGCAACCCCAGGTCTTACGGGAGCACCGTCAGGGCAGATCGGGCAGTTTCCAGCAACCCTGCGTCCTAGGGGAGCACCATCGGGGCAATTCCAGGCGCTTTCCAGCAACCCTGAGTCCAGGGGCGGGAGAACTGTCAGGGCCAGTCTGGGCAGTCTCTGGAAACCCCACATCTGGGGGAAGTGCAGCTGGGCTGGATCTGGGCATGAAGGGCAGGTGGGGATCCGCGGGGGCAGCATGCTGTCCCCCTCCCCACACTCGTAATTTTTGCTGGCTGATCCCACCGTCCTTTCAGCGCAGGACGCACAGCCAGTACCCGCTCATCAGGGAGGTCGTGCTTGAAGGGCTCAGGGAAGAGGGATGTGATGGAGGCGGGATCAACTCAGGAGCAAGAGCAGGGGCCTGGGGGCTGGGGGGGGTGAGGGGAGCGTTGCCAGGAGACTGATGGGGGTGGTGTATGCTGCCAGAAGGGGGACCCAGTGGAGCTGGCCAAGTTCCAAGCCTGCGCTGTCGTCAGTAACCAGCGCGTCCTGGGCCCTAGGCGTTGGGTGTTTCTTTTGTGAAGCAGATGGTAGGAACATGGTTTAAAGTTAATGGGGTTACTCTTCTTTTCAGATTGGAAAAAGTCTATAATCTTGTAAAGGAAACCATGCCAAAGAAGCTGGATGCACAATCAGGTGTGTGAGGGGCTTTGGGCTGGGTGGCCCCGGCTTCTACCCTGTGGCTCCGGAAGGGCTGCTGTTCTAGAGCTTGTCAGGCTTGTCAGGCCGGGACCTAGAAAGGGTGGAGGGTTCTCACCGCTCACCCCTTACCCTCCTTCCTTTCCTACCATCCACAGACCACAGCTAGTCACTTGCCCAGCAGCAAAGCCTCAGGGATGGAGGCTTGCAGATTCCAGGGCCAGTTCTGGGTGCCAGACCCATTGGGTCAACAGAAGCAGCCGGGAGGAACTGCTGGGGGAACTTGGTGGCACCCATCTCCGCATCCATCCCTGGCACTTGGAGACATGGGGACAGTTCTCACTCTTCCACTGATGGGTGGCTGATTTCCGAAAAAGGATGGGGATGAGACCAGGATGGGGCTGCTTGCTTCAGCCCCACTGTCCCCTGCTGAGCCTTTGGCTTTGGATCCCTGTGCCCTCCTGAGCATTGCCACCTCCCTCCTTGCAGGGCCTGCCGGGCTGGTCTCTGGGGACCAGCGTATCCAAGTAGCCAAAACCAAGGCCCAGCAGAACCATGCGTTGCTGGAGCGGGAGCTGCAGTGGCGGAAGGAGGAGCAGCTGCGGGTGCCTGCGGTCCCTCCTGGTGTGCGGATCAAGGAGGAGCCAGTGAGCGAGGAGGGCGAGGACGACGATGACGAGGAGGAGGAGCCCATGGAAACTTCCCCAGTGGTGGCGTCCACAGCAGGCTGGCCAATGGGCTGCCTCCCGGGCGGGCTGCAGGCACGGACAGCTTCAACGGGCATCTACCCCCGGGCTGTGCTAGCACCCCCATGGCCCGGGAACTGAGGGCCTTTGTGGAGGCCACCTTTCAGAGACAGTTTGTGCTCACGCTGAGCGAACTCAAGCGCCTCTTCAACCTGCACTTGGCCAGCCTGCCCCCTGGCCACACGCTCTTCAGCGGCATCTCGGACCGCATGCTGCAGGACACGGTGCTGGCCGCTGATGTTTGATGATGGTTTTTTTTGATTTTTGAATTGATTTGATGAAGTTTGTGATTGATTTATTGATGTGGTGAATTTTTGGGTGTTGATTGTTGAAGTTGCTGGTGAAGGCCCTGAGCCCTGCCTGTAGGGGACGGGAGAATAGGGAAACCAGCTGTTGGGAGGCCACATGGGGACACTGGAGGCTGTTTCTGGTGAGCATCTGCTCTCATGTGGACCTAGATGTGGGTGACATAGGCAAGTCAGCCTCTCTCGGGTTTCTATCCTCAAAGTGGGATTGTGGTGGTTTTGTCATAGAACTGTGGTAGGGGCTAAATATGGTGTCTGAAGGGGCCTAGTGAAAGCAGGTCCCTTGCCTGGTTTCTCATCCCCCCCACCCCACCCCCGACCAAGAGCACGTGACCTTTTCCTACTAGCTTTGCCATTGTTTGTAATGATTTGACTTCTAAGGTCATTTGATGTTTGCAATCTGTAGATGAAGAAACTGAGGCTCCAAGGAGTGAAATGAACATTTAAAGGTCTCTACCTAGGAGATAGCAGAGCTGGAATCTGGACCTCAGTGTAGTGGCCCTGAGTCTTGAATGCTTTCTCCTAAGATGAGCTGAGTGCTTCCCCACAGCTGCGCCAGTGTTGCGGTTTGGGCCTGGGTCCTGGGGGCCTCCCTGTGCATCGGAAGCAAGCTGACTAGCACAGCACTGTGCTCTCAGCAGTTGCAGTGCCAGGCCTTGAGTATGGTGTAGCAAGCCCCCTGCCCCAGCTTTTCTGTCACTGGGAGGGGCCTTGACAGGGAGCAGTGGACTGCGCGCCAGGGCCTGTTTCCCTGTGCTGAGGATGGAGAACACCAGGTGCAGCTTGAGGGATGCGTTTTTGGTACTGCTTTCCCACAAGGCTCAGCCCAGACTTGGCAGCAAAATGGGGTGAGGTAGGGCTGTGGTGGTCTCTAAGACAGTGTTAATGTTTGCATTGCCAAGGTCAGGAGTGCTTGCAGCCTTGCGTAATGATCTGAGGCCAAGGCCCATCCCCATATACGAGGAAATGAAACTAGGACAGGAGGCCCTGTGGAGCCCAGGCTATCTCAGGGGATTGGCCCTGCTGGCAGGCAGCCCCCTGGGTGAGGCCTTCTGCGGGAAGTACTGGCAGGATTTGGGGCTCCTGCCCACTCAGCACATGGGTCTGGGTCTCCACACGCTATCTTTCTTCATGAGTTGGGCCAGGCCAGGGAGGGTGCCCGCCTGACATTAGCAAAGTTGTTCTGGGTTGCTGGAGTAGACCCACGTTCCTGGAACTGGGTTGGTACAGACAGGGAGAGGTGAGGCAAGCAAGTGGATCTATGAAGTAGAGACAGACAAGCAACTCACACCTGGGCCTTGGTCAGTTTCCCCCACAGACTGCTGCTTCCCCGGATGAGCAGAAAGTGTTTTTGCCCTCTGGGAGTCTGGAGATATGAGCGATCAGGTGAGGTGATCTTCACTGCCATCTTCCCCAAGAGTACGGGGGGTTTCCTGCAGGGTTGGAGGCCTTGGGGGACATGAGGACCTGAAGTGCAACCACACATTTCAGATTTTCTGGCATACTCGGTTTTAAATGTTCTGTTCCAAGTCTGTACTCTTACAAAATAAGCTGTACATGCCAATAGTTTGAACCTAAACCAGTGGTTCCCAGTTGCCAGTCTATGGCCCAGCTCCAACAGAATCATCTTTTTAAAAATACAGGCTGGGCACAGCGGCTCATGCCTGTAATCCCATACTTTGGGAGCCAGAGACAGGCGGATCACCTGAGGTCAGGAGTTTGAGACCAGCCTGGCCAACATGGTGAAATCCCTTCTCTACTAAAAATACAAAACAAAAACAATTAGCGGGCGTGGTGGTGTGCGCGTATACCATCTACTCCGGAGGCTGAGACAGGAGAATTGCTTGAACCTGGGAGGTGGAGATTGCAGTGAGCTGAGATCGCACCACTGCACTCCAACCTGGTGACAGAGCAAGACTCCATCTCAACAAAAATAAAAAAATGCCAGTTGGTCTGACCTTGTCTAGGTCCTGCTCCTAAGGTGTGAGAAGGGAGTGAGCAGAGGTCCTGCTGAGCTCTCTGTCCCCAGCTGCCTCTTAAGGGGAGCCAGCTGGCAGGGTGAGGATCTAAAGAGCTGGGTCTTTTCCTGAGCAAGCTTGGGTGCTTTTGGCCAGAACAGAGGGCATCAGAAGTACTTTGATAACCAAAGGAAAAAAGTAAATGCAGATTTTTTAAAAATCAAAAAGCTTTTTCCCTGACAACTGCTAACAAAAAAAAAACAGTAAAAGTAAAAAGTGTTAATAGTAAAGCTCTTGCACCGCCTGACCTGACCGCCACTCCTAGAGGTGACCACTTTTATTACTACTTTTTTTAATGGAAACGGTCTATGTTGGCCTGGCTAGTCTTGAACTCCTAGCTTCAAGCAGTTCTCCTTCCTTGGTCTCCCAAAGTACTGGGATCATAGGCATTTAAATCACCAAAAGATACCACTAAAAGAGTTGTCCCATCTTTTAAAAAAAACCAGCTTGTTATTAGCAATGGGCCTGTCACTGTCAATGAGATTTAGCTCTCAACTATTTTAGGAGAATGTAGAGATGTAAAGATAAGTTATGCCAGTTTTTTTTTGAGACAGCATCTGGCTCTTGCTTTGTCATCCAGGCTGGAGTGCAGAGGTGGCCGTCTCAGCTCACACCTCCTGGGTTCAAGCGATTGTTATGCATCAGCCACCCAAGTAGCTGGGGTTACAGGCTTGTGCCGCCACACCCAGCTAATTTTTGTATATTAGTAGAGATGGGGTCTCACCATTGTTGGCCAGCTGGTCTTTACACCTATTTTTTAGTTTAATTGGCTATCATTGTTTATATATGGCATTGTCATGGAATGAATTGAAAAATCTGTTCATTTTAAGGCCAAGTATCAGTATATACAATGATTGCATTTCCTTATTCACTGCTTCCTGTTTTCACTTGTCTAATGTTCTGAACACGTGTATTCTGAACACACATACCAAGGGTGATAACTTTGCTTAATTAAGCTAAGTTGTCCCTGGAAGCTTCTCCAGTGAGACTGGCTTTTCCCCATGTCTGTTGCTGAATTCTAGAATCTC